TGCCCTCAAGTTTTTAAGCCACGATATTGTTCGTTTTCCCACTTTTCGCTTTCCTCGAATTTTACCTTGCATAATAAGTTGCAATAATGAGTATTTTGGCCCTCTCATCACAAGTCCTAAGAACTCAAGTTTTTTCAACTAATACCATAGAACAAAAAAAAGTCTAAAAGTTCTAAAATGAAAGTTAAAGACAAGAATGAGGAGTATTTATAAATTAAAAAATAAACAAGGACATGCTGTATATAAACAACATGAAATTATGAAAAAACACGAAGAGTACTATAGAACATTATATCGTCGAGATGTTCACTTTCCAGAGGTAGAAATGGCAGCAACACAACATCAGGGATCAGAAGAACTTCCAGATATAACTGAAGAGGAAATTGAATCAGCTTTAAAAGGTATGAAGAGCAACAAAACACCTATAGAAGATTGCATTGTAACTGAAATGATAAAACTAGAAGGAGAATGCGTAATAAAAGCCTTAAAAACTCTTTATAATGCCTGCCTTTTTAAGGAATTACATCAGAAAAATGGAATAGTGCCGTTAAGATAATATTGCATAAAAAAAGAAGGTGTAACTGAAATTGAAAACTACAGACCTATCAGCCATTGCAGAAACCGCAAGAGCACTGAGTGTCAAAATAAACGAGCATTAAACATACATACATCAAAAACAGAGACTTCGGCATATCATAGATATGCAAAAATGCCTGTCACAATGAACACCAAGAATTAATGAAGAACAATGTGTAGCAAACTTACCAGCAGAATATAGTAGGCTTTAGTTGGCAATACTAAAAGTAGAAGTCAGCAGCAAGAATATATCAAAATTAAAGAATTAATAGGTCAGATACACATGTATGTATACATAAAACACACAAAAAATCAGAATTTGATATCGACCCCAAGGCAAAAAATTCAAATCAAGAGTCTGCAAGATCGAGGTCGGGTGAGTCGCCTATCAAATTTGGTCAAAACGCCAACTAATATACAACAACAATAACTAACGACACATCAGAAACGGTAGGTGCCAATGGGTAACAATATAACTACCTTCGACAGTTGGGAGCCAATAAAACTTACAATTTTCTTTAGGGGTCAATTGTTAAGACTTGTTTTTAGTTCAGCCTCTTAAGTGTGAGAATATCTTATCTTAGAAGTAAATATGAAAAATGAATTTGGCTAGGACAAATAAACCAAAATATTAACTAAACATATTTAGCTTTAGATAACAAGATTTTTAAATGACACTTATGGCTTCTGATGTTGTCTTCAAGTAGTTAGACAGGATTGCAGAATGTAGTGGTCAGTTGCTGATGTAGCTGAATGTATACAAACATGATACTTTCATGTTTGTATCTTCAGGTGGCCATTGAGTTCTGAATAGCAGCTGGGGTTATTATTGCATCGTCGACCATGTGCTATCGAGAATCTTTAACGAGGCTCAGGAAGTTCCACCCATGTGGTTTCGATATGTCCCACTAAAAGGTGGACAAGAAAAATTAAAAAGGCCAAAAAAAAACTATAAAACTTAACCTTTTATTAGCAACATCATATGTTTTAAAATATTTCCATACCATATGAAGATTAAAAATAATTACAACATAAAATAGTAAATTGGCAAGGATAAAACTTCCCCAGAGAAGTTTTTACAATATAAAATAAATTTTCAATAGAGGATCCAGCTTAAATAAGTAAAAGACGGTATAAAAACTATTATAATTCACCTCTGCAGATTTGGAATGACACGACAGAGCAGAGTTGCCTAGTGACTATCTCAGAAAATAATAGGGTTTGAATAAAGGAATTAGAATATTTAGTGAACATATTTGAAATTTTAGATACTGACAAAATATTTAGTAAATAGAAAGTAGAATGAACAGTTGAACGGCAACTATTTTTAAAATAAAAATAGTAAAATAAAAGATCAACTGAATAGATGATTATATCAAAATAAACTGAAATAAAATAATTATTTATTTAAAGAAGAATAACAAACGTGACGTTTATAACATAACACGATTTATGAAGTTGAAACGTCACAATATAAAATGTAATTTTTATTGCAATGCATAATTTTATTTAGACATGCCAAAACATTTAAGTGATTACACTCATTTATTTATTGTATATACTCAACGGTATTACATGACTACCATTATTCATTGTTTTCTCTTTTATTACCAATCCGTTTTGATCGAATAAAATTTAATCAGTTTAGATAAACGTGAAGCTGTTAAAATAAACCAATGTACAAACTTTAAAAGCTGTCTAAAAACATTTTTAACTCGAGAATTTGCAGTTTTGTTTCAAGATATTAGTTTGTGAACATCTTTCTTTAGAAGCACCAAATGCCCAAATATTGTAAAAACATGATTTTCTTTAAAATGTTTTTACTAACATCTGGTAATTCGATTAGTTGATATTACAATCATTTTCCTAGACAAATGTACAAAATTTGACTGTAATTCATACAGTAATTTAACATTAGTTAACAGGAAAGTCAGATACTCTTTTGCAAAGTATAAACCTAATAGAAAATATACATGCCTTTATAAATATTATAAATAAATAAAGTGAAGTGTTTTTTAGAACTGGCGCTCGTATATCAAGTTCTGTTCTAACTTGGTTTAAATATTTTGATCCAGACTTTAAACAAACAGAAAACTCTAAAAACTTATAAATTGCCAAATTTGGAATGTTTTATGATAAATATATTTTGTGCTCTTTATACACGTCAGTTGATACTTCTACCATCAAAATAAACTACAACTGTCATCAAAATAAAATTTGGGCTAACATTAACTTGTCAGCTTAATAAGCTCAGCAGACACTTTGATGTGAGTAGATTGTACATTTCTAAGGAGTCGATTGGCTTCGAACACCTTTCCGCACAGCGACCTAAAAGTACTTTTGTGGATACTCTACAGCTGTATTTGTGGCTTTCTGGTAGGTTTCAGCGCTAACAGTCGAGCTTCATTAGGACCAAGGCTTGGATTCTACAAGTACTGAAACTTTTCCTTGTGGCGCCGCTCAGGCTCACTCCCTGGATATTTTTCTGCCCTTGCTTAGTTTTATCGAGGTTTCGCTAACTACTTGTCAGTACTTTGCCGAGAGAAGGTTAGTACAATCTGGGTGTCGAATTATACCCGGAATTGAGCCGCCTTTAGCTTCACCACAGAATAATTAGCGACCACGACGGAGCATGAAGAGTCCTTCTACGACACAAGGTCTAGCGTCTCTCGGAGGGATGTGTTAGTCTAATTGGTACTTGGTTTGGGCCATACGGCAGCCAGAGAAATTTTTCAAACATCCAAAGTGGATCTTTGGCTTTAAATTAAAAATGCATGATTATATCGATTTGGCCGATGGATGAACAGCACGATGAGAGATACGATAATTCGTTGATTCCTACCGTAAGCCTTAAAAACGAGAGAAAACTGGAACAAACAAACCAGCATTAACTTTATTTTAAAATTGGGTATTGCCATTTGGGTTTGACGATTTAAAGTGAATACTTCTTATCACTCGGTATATTTCTGCACGGCCCGAAATCATATTTTAGCGTGACTCGAAAAATCGAGACGTGTGTAGTAACCTTGCGGTATTCAGTAATATACATAAACAGTTATTTTAAAATAACACCACACATTGGTCCTTTAAAATTTTAAAAATCTTAATTTTTTTCTTAAAAAAATTGATTTAATGATTTTAGTGTTATTTAAAACTTGTTAAATATAATAGAGAATTTATTCATCATTTACATTTTTATTATTTTCTTGTATGTATGTTTATTTGTATTAAAATATTGTATTATTCTAATAGCAGAGTGTGGCACTCTGCTACAAAAATAGACTGTTAGACCAGCTTTTTCAAAGACTATTAGACTATTTTTATTAACATGCTTGACGATCTTGTTATGAGTGCTACCTGGAGCCATTTTTGTTGCAGAAAAACTTAAAATTACAAAAAACATTTTTTGATTTTTGGATATTTAATTTTCCATGTTTAATAAACCTTCAGTTGCCAGTGCCGTTCGATTTTCTCGTACCACTATGCTAAATGAATCAACAATAAGCTGTCAACATTGTCTTAGAAGCATATAAGAGAGGGTAGTTAAAAACAACTAATTGAATACTTAAGGGGTGACAAATCAAACATAAGATCTTCAATGTTTAGTATCTTAAAGTTCAAATGAACATATCAAATTACAAGGTGCATTTGAGCTAAAGTACAAAACTAAATTGAGAAATGGAGACTGGGAAAATACACAAGGAAATGGGATATGCAAATAGATTACTACCGAACAGAAAAAACATACTTCGATTACTTTACAGAGTCTTCAGTTGATATATTTTACACTTTACAACATATGTCTTCTAGGAATGGATTTTTGCGAAAGATAACATGGAACAAATAATAGTAAAACCACATAGATCTAGCATGTAAAAAATAAGCTATTATGCTAACGGATAGTCAATTTAAGAGTAGCTGAAAAATAAAATAGGAGTTACATGAAAATTCGCAGATCTTGAGTCAAAATGACAAGCAAATGTATGAATAATAAATGAAATGATTCATAATCACAAATGATTACAACTGTACACGAATAGTTGTTTGACCTCAATGAATAATAATAATAATTTAACTTAGCGCATAATATACTCCCAAAAAATCATTTTATAAGTTTTTTGGAGTTTCTTTTTCTAAATGAGCTCAATTGCTTATTTATCAAGTTTGGATATGCATTATTCTAATAAATATACTAATTAATATCCTACAAAATTGGTATTAAAAGTACTTAGAACTTACAAAATTAGGTGACTACTTTATGTGTTATTAAATTTTGTCTAGAATAATGTTTGTTACTCGTTATTATTCAAATAACTGTAGTTGTAATGTGGCCATTCTGATAGAACCAATTTAAAGAATTCGTTTCGTAAGAGGGTGGTGACTTTTTCCTAAGGACGTTTTGTAATTTTTTATGTCATTTTCAGGGTGTTTTAATGCTCCAAGACCAATACCGTGCTATTATGCAATATAGCATACCGAAGGATTCGAATTCCGCTGAAAAAACACCATCCTATAAGGCTTCAGCTGATTGGTTTTGTATAAAGGTACAATAATTTTTATCTAAATGTATATAATAGTAGCTTTTACACGAAAATCATTGTTATGAAATAGGTATTGTTGCAATTTTTAATTTAATTTATTAAATTGCCGGGATCCTGCTTCTATAAAGTTTATATTTAAAAAATTAAAATGAAGACATCGTTAAGATATTTTGGTGATACCTTTTGCGCCTCTCTTTTATCGCGAATACAATAAATAATAAGTTCATGAATGTGTTGCTTGTGTGAGTCCATATCAAATAGGTAAAGAAATAATAATAAGACTTACTCACAATCAATTTAATTTAACAATCTGACGACCGGTTTCGCTTTCTATAATTTGCAAAGCATCTTCAGGTCGAGATACAAAGTTAAACTAATGCTGCAATAAAATAAACCCAATTAGGGTGGTGTCTCATAAAGATAAAATAAACAAATAAATAAATTAGTTCATACAAATTATAGTAATTATGCCAATATTACATGTCTGTGGTTTTCAAAATGAATAATTTGAATATATAAAAGGTAGTAACAGACAAGGTAAGGCCCACAATTGTATAAAGTAGCAATCTTTTGTTGTAATAAATTAATAAATGAGCAAATAAATAAAACAAACAAACATTACTTACATGCCGGTACTCTATTAATTAATGGATGGTAGGTCATGGTTGCAAAAATCATGTATTGTTGATTGGAGAACTTTAATGAGCTATTGCAGTTGTTTTGACAATAAACGGGAAGTTCTTGAGGAGAACAGATTTGATCCAATGAATTAGAGATAGGTATATTGTTGTTGTTTGTCAGATGAAAGTGATGTTCTTTACTATTGTATTAATTAAATTATTTACACTTATAACAGAGATATATTTTGGAATGTGTGTTATTTATTGAGTATTTATGTAATGAAGGAGACAGTTCTATGACAATGAATAAGAGTAGCTGTACCGATTGTGTGGTTGTGCAATTTTTTGACTTGCAATTATCAAGTCTATTGGCAAAATTATTAAAGTATTGTAAGGTCAATTATGTAAAAAGGTATATAAAAGTATATAAAATTATTATAACTTAAGAATGATTAGGGACAAATTAAACACACATTAACAGGAAACAGAAACACTAAATGACGGACAAACATTGAATTTAAAACTAAAACTTGGGGATGGAAGAAACTGTTAGCACTACATCTCACTTGTTGGAAGAAATGAGTTTTTTCATATTTAATCTATTAGATTTAAGAGGTAAATTTGACATATGTAGGTTGAAGTGTGACAGTTCTTCTTCTCTTACTGAATACTGTAAGTTTAGTTATTCAGTATTATGGAGTATGTTGATATTAATGAATGTATCAAAATTTGTTTTAATTTTGAAATCAAAGTAAATTGATGTTTTAATATTGGCATACTTTAACAATTTTAATTAGTAAGTTTCAAATTCAAAAATGTTTATATGGTAACAATGTGAATAATTGAAATACATCATTTGTTATAACTAACCAATTTTAGTCTAAATATTTCAGAACAAATTAAAATGATTATTTAGTAAATACAAACAAGTGTACTTGTAATTGAAAGATATAACAAATTTACAAATTGCCTGAGAATTTTTTTATTTGAAATGATTGTCGGTCTGAGCTATCTATTGTGGTGTATGAGCATTTCTTAAAATATTTTTATTTAAATTGTAAAAATTAATAATTAAATAAAGTAGTAATTGGGTGAATATTGATGATTATTTAAATTTTGAATTCGAGTAATTGACTGACTTAAATCTTGAATAATTAGTTGGTAATACTAATTTATGACAATTGGAACCGGAAATTGATTCCATCCCCGGCAGCAGGTACACATTTAAACCGGTGTAAAATATATTTTATTTCAATTCTTTGTCTCATACGAACAGACATTCCTCAAACCGACAAGAACACTGGTGAGTTTTTTACAGTAGTTTTAGTAAGAATTTTTAAAAATTTTTGATTAAAATTAAAATCTGTTTTTGAAAAGTAATATTTCTATTTAAATTTTAAATCTATACAGGATTATGAATAGTATAGATATATGTAATCCGAATAGCTAGTCTGAACAATTTTCAGTCATGTTGGAAATCCATAAACCACGTGTTGAGTTTGAAATGAAATTGTTGTAAATTAAGTAAATTGTCGAAACCAGATGGAATGCAATAATAATTATTATGGGTTAAATAAGTTGAGGTACCATACCAGTTCATTACTGATGTTTAATTTAGTTTTAGGAAAATTTTATTTTTATTGGTGATATGTTGAAGAAAAGAAAAGAGGAGAAATTCTGTGAACACGAAATTCGATCCATCATGGTGTGCTGGATTTTAATTTTATGTTGAAGATTTAAAACAAACTGAGAAGTATATCAAACCTGTATATCAGATGTATTTTATTAAATGGGTTCTTGGACAAATTGTTGTTTCTATGGTATTGAAGTAACTACCAAGTATTGTGTGATGTTAAAAGTTGATGTTTGTGGTAACAATACTCTAAGTATATGGATCTACTGTAGAAAACGAGAAATGGAGTAGGTTCAGGTAATATTATTTATATCGATAAAATTATTTTATAATAACACTGAATATACTGGTGTGTATTCTAATTCTAATTGTGCATTAAGTGTAACTGTTGTTTGATTTTTTAAAGATTTTAATATTTCTAAATGTTCTAGGTTATTTAATAAGGTGCCTTTATTACAAGTATGAAGGATTGTGAAATCTGTTTGAGGATCAAAGATGTGGTTTGTTCGACGGATATGTTGGGAGAAATGTATTGGCCTGATGTTGGACGTTCTATATATATATATAACATCTTAGATGTATATATAACATCTTAGATATATAGAACGTCCAACATCAGGCCAATCACATTTCTCCCAACATATCCGTCGAACAAACCACATCTTTGATCCTCAAACAGATTTCACAATCCTTCATACTTGTAATAAAGGCACCTTATTAAATAACCTAGAACATTTAGAAATATTAAAATCTTTAAAAAATCAAACAACAGTTACACTTAATGCACAATTAGAATTAGAATACACACCAGTATATTCAGTGTTATTATAAAATAATTTTATCGATATAAATAATATTACCTGAACCTACTCCATTTCTCGTTTTCTACAGTAGATCCATATACTTAGAGTATTGTTACCACAAACATCAACTTTTAACATCACACAATACTTGGTAGTTACTTCAATACCATAGAAACAACAATTTGTCCAAGAACCCATTTAATAAAATACATCTGATATACAGGTTTGATATACTTCTCAGTTTGTTTTAAATCTTCAACATAAAATTAAAATCCAGCACACCATGATGTATCGAATTTCGTGTTCACAGAATTTCTCCTCTTTTCTTTTCTTCAACATATCACCAATAAAAATAAAATTTTCCTAAAACTAAATTAAACATCAGTAATGAACTGGTATGGTACCTCAACTTATTTAACCCATAATAATTATTATTGCATTCCATCTGGTTTCGACAATTTACTTAATTTACAACAATTTCATTTCAAACTCAACACGTGGTTTATGGATTTCCAACATGACTGAAAATTGTTCAGACTAGCTATTCGGATTACATATATCTATACTATTCATAATCCTGTATAGATTTAAAATTTAAATAGAAATATTACTTTTCAAAAACAGATTTTAATTTTAATCAAAAATTTTTAAAAATTCTTACTAAAACTACTGTAAAAAACTCACCAGTGTTCTTGTCGGTTTGAGGAATGTCTGTTCGTATGAGACAAAGAATTGAAATAAAATATATTTTACACCGGTTTAAATGTGTACCTGCTGCCCGGGGATGGAATCAATTTCCGTTCCAATTGTCATAAATTAGTATTACCAACTAATTATTCAAGATTTAAGTCAGTCAATTACTCGAATTCAAAATTTAAATAATCATCAATATTCACCCAATTACTACTTTATTTAATTATTAATTTTTACAATTTAAATAAAAATATTTTAAGAAATGCTCATACACCACAATAGATAGCTCAGACCGACAATCATTTCAAATAAAAAATTCTCAGGCAATTTGTAAATTTGTTATATCTTTCAATTACAAGTACACTTGTTTGTATTTACTAAATAATCATTTTAATTTGTTCTGAAATATTTAGACTAAAATTGGTTAGTTATAACAAATGATGTATTTCAATTATTCACATTGTTACCATATAAACATTTTTGAATTTGAAACTTACTAATTAAAATTGTTAAAGTATGCCAATATTAAAACATCAATTTACTTTGATTTCAAAATTAAAACAAATTTTGATACATTCATTAATATCAACATACTCCATAATACTGAATAACTAAACTTACAGTATTCAGTAAGAGAAGAAGAACTGTCACACTTCAACCTACATATGTCAAATTTACCTCTTCTAATAGATTAAATATGAAAAAACTCATTTCTTCCAACAAGTGAGATGTAGTGCTAACAGTTTCTTCCATCCCCAAGTTTTAGTTTTAAATTCAATGTTTGTCCCGTCATTTAGTGTTTCTGTTTCCTGTTAATGTGTGTTTAATTTGTCCCTAATCATTCTTAAGTTATAATAATTTTATATACTTTTATATACCTTTTTACATAATTGACCTTACAATACTTTAATAATTTTGCCAATAGACTTGATAATTGCAAGTCAAAAAATTGCACAACCACACAATCGGTACAGCTACTCTTATTCATTGTCATAGAACTGTCTCCTTCATTACATAAATACTCAATAAATAACACACATTCCAAAATATATCTCTGTTATAAGTGTAAATAATTTAATTAATACAATAGTAAAGAACATCACTTTCATCTGACAAACAACAACAATATACCTATCTCTAATTCATTGGATCAAATCTGTTCTCCTCAAGAACTTCCGTTTATTGTCAAAACAACTGCAATAGCTCATTAAAGTTCTCCAATCAACAATACATGATTTTTGCAACCATGACCTACCATCCATTAATTAATAGAGTACCGGCATGTAAGTAATGTTTGTTTGTTTTATTTATTTGCTCATTTATTAATTTATTACAACAAAAGATTGCTACTTTATACCAATTGTGGGCCTTACCTTGTCTGTTACTACCTTTTATATATTCAAATTATTCATTTTGAAAACCACAGACATGTAATATTGGCATAATTACTATAATTTGTATGAACTAATTTATTTATTTGTTTATTTTATCTTTATGAGACACCACCCTAATTGGGTTTATTTTATTGCAGCATTAGTTTAACTTTGTATCTCGACCTGAAGATGCTTTGCAAATTATAGAAAGCGAAACCGGTCGTCAGATTGTTAAATTAAATTGATTGTGAGTAAGTCTTATTATTATTTCTTTACCTATTTTAAATAATAAGTTATTTATTTATCTACATATAGATTCGATGTCTTCTAGATCACTTTGGTGACCATGCTATCAAAGTCTCCCGATGGGCGATGAATTCTGCATTCACCACAGAGAAAATCCGTTGAAATCCTTTGACCTCATTCATTTGAGCCACCCCGTATAAATCAAGAGATAAACCATTAGTTTTGCACTTTTGGTATACAGGGAAGCCTGACGATCTTTCTTGGTACTAATTGCACTCCTTAAGTTCAAATAAGGCTCTTATAACCTGATGGCAGGGTTACCAAAGTGATCTAGAAGCCGTTTTTTCTACTACCCTAGATAAAAGTTAGCAACTTCTTTAGGGAGAATTTAAAGTTTTTTCCCAGCTTCAAAACTCACATTTACACAAGATATAGGTTTCAATTTTAGTTGGTATGCTCATAATAATTAGCTCAAATCTTTGGTATTTTAAACTTATTGCACCTGTAGATGGACGTGATTCTCGCAGTCTTTGATTCAATAATGTTCCTAGCTTGCACAGATTTCTTTCCATTCAATTGCATACAATACACGATGGATTTAGTAGTAAGGTGATCGACGACCTGTTTGAAGCATATGGTTACCCACCATTCCATTCTCAGTCCTGTATTCTCTGTTTAGTGAATTATTCGACCTTAAGAACTTTCCACTCCCTGTTTTGTTTAAGAAAATCCTTTGTGATGTTAAAAGTATCTTCTTCTACCTTCCTTCCGGTGAGTCCACTTCCGTCATATCGAGAAGCATGAGCTTCGTTTACAATTTTTATTAGGGAATACTTTATTAACCATATTTCATTCTTACACATCATTTTCTCCGGGTAGTTCTTGGGATCACCGCTGTCTTGATTTGACTTGAACAGTTTTGCAACGTCTACCACAATTGTTTGGAAAGGAACTTGGAACTCTGTTCTTTTTTGTAATTTTTTCGTCAGGAGGATCGCTGGAAGATGAAATACACTTACAGCCTCTGTCTGATTAGTTCTCCTTGGAGAAGCAGTTGGAAGTTTACATGATATGACCTTGTTATAAACCCTTTTCCCTTATATTTGTGAGCATGTCTGAGATAACTTAAGTCGGTATTCCTATACGCAAATCATCTAATTTTGGCTTCTGCCCCGATATTCTTAGTCTGCTGGATATTGTTTTTGAAAGTAATTTTGTTAGTTTTAGGGTTTTACTTCTTCAAGTTCCATTCCTATCGCAGATTGGAAATCATTCTGGCAATCATAATTTTGTTGGTTACGCGCCTGAATAGTTCAATTGAACTGCCACCAAACCATTCACGGAGATTGCGTAGCCACGAGATTTTACGTCTTCCTACGTTTCTTCTGTCTTTGATTTTACCCTGCATTATATTCCTTAGTAGTTCGTATTTTTCACCTCTCATGATGTGCCTCAAGTATTCCAATTTCCTGATTTTATGGAATTTAAAACTTCGCCTTGTTTTCCTAGTTATTCGAGAACTTGTTCTTTTGTTTTGCGATCCATCCATGATATTTTCAAAATACGTCGGTAACACCACATTTGGAATGCTTCAGGTTTTTAATGTTGGATTTTTAAGTGTCCCAAGCTTCAACCCCATACAAAAGAGTAGAGAAAATATAACACCGAAGCATTCTTATCCGGAGCGATATATTGATATCGCGATTACAAAAAAGTTTTCTCATTCTATTAAAAGTTGACCTTGCAATTGCAATGCGGCATCTTATTTCTTTTGTCTGATCAGTATCTTCTGTGATTCATGCCCAAGGTATTTGTACGAAGATATTTGTTCAATTTCTGTATTACCTAGTACTAGCTTAACTTTGATGTTTTGTGCTGTTCTAAATACCATGAACTTTCTTCTTCTTAGAGTGCCGTCTCCCTACGGAGGTTGGCAATCATAATGGCTATTTTTATTTTAGAACTTGCTGCTCTAAACAATTCGATCGATCTGCATTGGTACCAATCACGTAGATTCTTTAACCATGAGTTCTGCCTTCGGCCAACAGATCTTCTTCCTTGAATCTTTCCCTGTATTATCAGTCTCAAAATTTCATATTTTGGTCCCCTCATCACGTGGCCTAGGTATTCCAGTTTTCTGGTTTGTATAGTGGTGATTAGTTCTGTTTCTTTACCAACCCTCTCCAGTACTTCTTTATTTGTAATTCTATCAGTCCATGATATTTTCAATACTCTGCGGTATAACCAGAGTTCGAAGGCCTCGATTCTTTTTAAATTACATTTTTTTAATGTCCAAGTCTCAGCTCCATATAATAATATTGAAAATATATTATAACAGCGAAAATATATTATAAATATAAAAACAGCGAATGGTACGTAGTCTGATCTCCAAATTTAGATTTTTGCACGTTCGGAGTGGCTTCATTCGTATAAATGCTGATCTGGCAATCTCTATTCGTCTGTTTATTTCTACAGTATGATCATTGGTTTCATTGATCAAAGTTCCCAAATACTGATATTTTTCTACTTGTTCTACCTAACCATGAACTTGGTTTTCTTCAAATTTATTTTTAGTTCATAATCTTAGCAATAGTTGCAAGTTGCAGTGTAAGGTGTTGCAGTTATTTTAGTGTTCCTGCCAGAAGGACGGTGTCGTCAGCATATCTTATGTTATTAAGTGGCTCACCGTTTATTATAAGGCGCTCACTGACCCCGGCAAGCGCTAATTCTGAAATGGCTTCACTGTATAAATTGAATAACAAGGGTGATAAAATACACCCTTGGCGGACCCCACGGCGAATCTGGATATCCTCGGTCAGTTCATTTTCAACTTTCACTTTTGCTGTTTTGTTCCAATAGAGGTTACATATGATTCTAATGTCTCTACTGTCTGTTTTTATTTAATAAAATTTCTTTAAGCCGATTATGCTGCACTCTGTTAAATGATTAATATCTAAGCATCTCTGCGAAAGAGCACTTACTGCAAACAGTGCATCTCGTGTTCTCTGTCCTTTCCTAAATCCCATTTGTTAATTACTTATGCCTTCATATAATTTCTTATGTATTCTATTGTGAATTACTTTTAAAAACATTTTCAAGACATGACTCATTAAGGCTATGGTGCGATGTTAATTTCACTCCTTTGCATTGGCTTTTTTGGGATGCAGTATGAATGTTGATTGGAGACTTTCTCTAGGTTTTATACCTGTTCTATATATGGTATTGAATAGATACAAAAAAAATCAATATATTCCGTATTCACAATTTTGAGTAATTGAGGTTTTACTTAGAATCCCCCAATTTTGATTTTAATTGGATTTTAATTGAATTAATTACTTAAGTTATGAAAAATGGCATTAAAGTAATTATAGTGCGCCTATGGGCATTTTAAACACTTAACTACTGCGTTCCTTAGCTAATGTGGAATCCTTAACATTGATCCAAACATAGGACGTTCCAAATAAGACAGTTAATTAAATCTCCCTGTAAAAGTCTACTATTTCTTGGTATTCTTTTTAATTTTATTTAATGCAAGCAAGTAATATATCAGTTCTGTTTTAGTGTGGAGCTCAGAATTTCAAAAGAAGGGACAATTGTTTTAAATGTCACGCATCCAAAACAGAAAGTGAGGAAGGAGGTAGCGGTAGCGACGAAGTGTGCATGTATGCGACTAAAAGTAAGCAAAAAATAATCAGTAATTCTATTTATTGTTATTTTAATGTTGCATTCCGTAATTTACTGTTTCAAGCACAGATGTAAGTGTTCTCCTGCGTTAGACCCACATCTTCCAAGAAATAACATTGTTACTTTACTGTTCATTTTTAAAGAGTTTTAAGTGCGGGTTGAATCACCACAGCCGGTGTGTAAATGGCGCGACAATCAGAACCGTTATATGTTTTACATTGTAAGTGAAATTCAGTTTGTTGTATACATTATTATCATCTTATTATTATTATTATTATAATTATCATCCCTTGAAAATCTCATTGTTGTTGGAGATTTCAATTTTCCAGAAATAAGCTGGCCCATCATTTCCAAAACTGATACTATCAATTCCCAAAATTTGTTTAAAAACTCTATCATAACTCAAATTTAATACAACTAATAACTGAACTTACAAGGTTTAGAGCCAACAATAATCCTTCAATTTTAGACTTATTTTTCACAAATGACGATGAATTAATTTCTACACTTGAAGTGTCCTCTCCTGTGGGTCTTTCTGACCACTCGCTTATTACTGCTCACATTCAATTTAGTTTAACACCGCCTTGCAAAAATAATTTCGTAACGTATGCCACTACTAATTTCTTTGATGTAAATTCAGTTTTATCCCAGTTAAACTGGCAATCTATTTTTCTTAATCACTCTGATCCATCGTCAATGTGGGACTCTTTTCTTCATACTGCTATTACAACAATTTCTGATCATACAATCGAACGGCAGGTATATAGAAATCGACTAAAACCTTGGATTAACCTCTCAGCTACTCATTTAATTCGACATAAGCGAAAGCTTTGGCGAAGATATAAATTCACTGGTTCCCCTAGATTTTCTCGCCCACCGTAATTTTTCTAACCGAGTCAAACAATCTTTGCTAAAGTTAAGAACAGAATTTGAAGAATCTATCATCGCAAGTGGTAATAGTAAAAAAGTTTATCGGTACATTCGTACATCTTTATCTTCTAAGTCTCCACACCATTGCTTCAAAAAGCTGATGGGTCTTTATGTTCGTCGAAAAACGAATCTTCGGAATGTTTATCGTTATTCTTTTCTCAAGTTTTTACAGATGAATCTAACGATACCATTCCTCAAATAATGTGCCCTCGTTTGTCTAAAATAAAGATGGGCGTTATATAACGTATTCGGATAAATAACACTATTACCAATAAGTATTCGTTTTCTAAATAATAGGTTACAGCAAACTGCCTATTACTTTTGTCACAGTGTTACTGTAACGTAAAACGCACTGGTATTAGTGGTATTCGAATCGGCATTTGGTATTTTGACGTGACAATATCGGTAATCGGTAGCTTAATAGGTAACAGAATAGGATGGTCATTGTCACCAAATTTATGATGGTCTTTATGTTTTGCCACTTAAATAGCTGGGAACACCACCGTATTCGATCATTTATTTCACAACCAAAAAGGATTATAAATAAAATAAAATAATCTTATACACTAATATTTTTTCCTCTCGCCTTAATATATATATATATATATATATATATATATATATATATATATATATATATATTGTGATATTTAAAGTCTTGGTGCGCCAAGCAATTAATTAGCTAATTAATTAATTAAAATTATTTACATGATATGATTATGACTCTATCACACTTTTTAAATCTCTTATCTCAGGGTTAAATTCGTGCTTCAATATCTATGCTATTACATGTGAATGGTAAGGTCCAAAGAATACCGGAATAATAAAAAACACATATGATATAACACTATATATTGAAATAAAAATAATGAAATAATTCACACTCAAATGTTTTCAATCAACAAAATCTCATATAATGATTCTCAAAATTTTGTTCTACGTACGTGAACCTTCAAAATTAATGGTACAAATAATATTAGTTGAAATCTCAAAATCCAAATATTATTCTAAATCTCCTAATCAAAATATTTATATCCTTTCTAAATTAAGTGTAAAAATTGTGTTATCAATGAAAGAAAAACTGCAGAAAACAAAACTATCTCTCTCTGATGATGAGTGGTCCAAATCCTTGTTATTTGTAGACTATACTATTTACTCGTGGCCGCTCCCTAGGTAATCAGCAATCTTACAACAAATTATTGCAAGTATATCGTCTTTAATGATCTCCTTCAAATGCACGAATCGTTCAAATTATGCTAGCTTCTTCTTCTCTCACTAAACTGAATCTCTCGTTGGCCTGAGTGAAAAATGACTCTTGGAATATCTTTTCTTTACGATAAACTGAATCTCTTGTTGGCCTGAACAGTGACTCTTGGAATATAAGTAGAAAAATATGACTTACAATATTTTACTGGATCAGCTTCGGTCAGATACACTAACTACACGAAAACTCACAAACTTTCACTGCTACTGCTTCCTACCTCTGGGAAACTACCCGAGAACAACGGCCGTTCGCCTTGCACCCTTGGAAACCAACTGATTATCTTTTTTCTCTCCTAAATCTAGCTAAACTTTCATTCCTACATACCTATCCCACCTTTTTCAATCTCCGCCAATCAAAGCTCGTCACAATTCCCCCACTTTTTCATTTCGATAACAAACAACTTTTTACCTATAATTATAAAATTTCCTAAAACTTATTTACAAATAATATTTTTCTACAATTCTTAAAAACTAACAAAAACCTCTTTCTAAAATCTGTCTATTGTCTTTAATCACTGCAATAATGTATTTGGAAAAACCCGGTTCAATTGTCTTTGGATTTCACTTAAAATTATGCGGGTCACTCAAGTATAGTATAACAAAGGAAATAATTTATGCATAGCTTACATTTTGTTTAATACAGGTAATCCAAAAATTTAAAAACTTTCCTTCTTCGAAATGTTTGTTGGTTATTATCCTACTTATCTGAATTATTTTAATGTTTTTAAACTTTGAAATATTTTAATCAAACCAATATTTTTCTCGATTTCACATATCATAACAAATCCCCGCCATTTGATCTGCCGAAAACTCTTTGTTAAATTTAAAAAAATGACAAAAGTTTTCTAGGATCAAATTATTTCACTATGTTATTAAAACCTACTTATGATACTGATAAATGTCGTGAATGTTAAAATACCCCGTATATTGCCTGTTTTTATACGGGATTGGATATATTTTCGTTTTAAATTTTTCCAAGTATTTAATCTTAAAACAATGTTCATAATTTTTCGCCGCTCGGCTTACTTCATTAATAAGATCTCCGTGATTTTTTAAAATCTTCTCTATTTTCTTTCCCTTGTTTTCTCCACAATTTATTTTTCTTTCATCCTCATTTTGTTCATATGTGTTCACTGTCCATAATATTTCTTCACAAAATTCTGGATTCTTGTCCATTATTGCCATTTCTTCTTTTGTTTTCTTTCTATCTTCTAATTCCCTTTGGTATTCCGAGCACCATGTTTCTATTCATTTCATTTCTCTGATGATTACTTCCTTTTCTTCCTGCTTCCTTTCTGTTTTATCGTCGGTTGCCAACAATTCTTCTGTACCTTCTATTTCCTGTTTTTCTCTTGTCTCCATCTTGTTTTCCTGCTTTCTTTTCGAACTCTTCTTCTTTTTCTTCCTTCTCCTTTTCTCTTCTGTTTGATTTTTTTCTTGTACTTTTGGTTTATCCTCTACAGTCATATTGATTTCTTTACGTTTTTCCTGTGCATTGATCCTTTCAGAATTTGTTTTCCTATCTGTTTGCTTTTCTTCGTCTGTGTTGTCTGGTTCTGCTCTGATTTCCAGTTTATTTTCCGAAAAATTTATGGTGATATGTTTTTCCCTCAATTCATCAATTCCCGCTATCATATCATGATTTAAATCTTCAATCACCACACATTTCATAATATGGAATTTGTCTCCCACTCTGATCCGTACTCTCAAACCTTCGTTTACTGTCGTCAAATTTTTATTGTTTGCACCCACTAAATCAACCCTAGGAATCTTATACACAAATCTGTCCAAATTTAATTCTTTTACTAGTTTTTTATTTGCTTTGCTTTATTTGCTTTTATTCGCTTAACATTGAAAAATGCGTTGTTTTACATATCGGCAAAAATAACCCATCACTGCCGTACTTTATTAATGGACATCCTTTAAACTCAACTCTGTAACCTCACACAACGATCTCGGAGTGATAATTAATAGTGACTTAAATTGGTCTGATCACATAGTGTCGGTGTGTAAACGTGCTAACTCGAAACTGTTTTTGATCCGTAAATGTTTTGCACACATATCTCTAATCTCTGTTAGTAAACTTTACTCAATATACGTTAGACCTATTCTTGAGTTTGCCGGACCAGTGTGGAATCCAGATCTCAGTCGCGATAAATGTCGATATATCCTTCCGTATTTTAAAACATAATTTTGGGAACCTAAACACCATATTCACTTTGAATAAAGACGAAAGATTAAGAGGCCATCGATACAAATTAAAGAGGGAACAAACTACTGCAAGGTCCAGGGTGAACTTCTTGCCAAACAGAATCTTTAATATCTGGAACAATTTGGATCAAGACACCATATCGGCAACTATAGTGTTAACATCTTTAAAAATAAACTTGATAGCGCTTTATTTTTTTATAGGATAGGATATTTTTTCTCGGACAGCATTATTTATTTATTGTGTCACAATTCAATTTTTGTTAATTGTTTAACTGTACTTAACTTTATAATTAGTATTAGTTTTATAAGGATATATTTTATTTTTGTTTATTTTTGCTTTTTGGGCATAATAGGAGCTCGCTCCTCTGCCCTTATTTGTTATATAATAATAATAATAATAATAATTAATAAACCATCCCTTATTGTTTGCGGGAGAATTTGAGTCGTACTCAAGTAAGAATACCATCCGATATCCATTTTGATAAAACAATTGTATTAATTATTTGTACGCAGATATATTAAACCAATAAACAACTCCTGTCTAAAAGGTACGGATTATTGTACTTACTTATATTCTATTGAACAAGAAATTAAGAAAGTAAAAAAAAATAATATATTTAATTTTCTGTAAAGGACACAAACAAAGACAAATAATAAAACAAATTAATAAATAAACAAAGAAATCTTCTACACTCAATGGAAATGGCGGCAAATATTTCAAAAAATTTGACTGAAGTATGACTTCTATTAGTTTGATTTCTTTTTTCGCGCGTGTTATTGTACGCTATATCCATTCATGGGGATTTAACAAAACACTGAATAAATGCCAACCAATTTGACAGATACAGTTTCAACAATATGGCGGCTACCAACCGTCAAAGTTCGGAAGTATCTATTGGAAGGTCCTATATTTTAAAAAGTATTTGTTTAACTATCATAATATTTGCATATTTGTTGATTTTTCTATGTAACTAAAATTTTTTTATAGCCATTATGTTAAGGAATTTGGACGCATTGACAACAGAAGAGTCTGTCATGGCTGAACTGAAGCAAATCATACCAGAATTGGTGGAAACCATTTCGGTCGTATGTATTGGACGGGATCCTCTAACGTCAACTTCTAGGGGCCTCTGTTATCTAGAAACAAGAAGCACTGTAGATTCCTTAGCTATATTCGCAGGTCTTAGTAATCACAAAACACCACTTACTATTGATGGAAAGTCTGGTAAGTTTCAGGATTTAAAAATTAGTACCTTTTTGTTGACAGTTTACTGAACATATATTAATGTTTTACAGTGATAGTATCCTACTGTAAATATGTTAAGGGAGACAGCAAGAGACCATATTCTCAAGCAGATCAAGATGTCTTCCCTAACGCAGCAGTTCCTAGTACTTATTCTTTGGACGATGTAGATAGTTTAGCAGAATACGCCGCTAGAAGATATGCAAAATCACCACAGGAATACATGCACTACATCGAATACTATCGAGTGTATTTCGCCAAACAAATTACTGAAGGACATTCCATTACCCTTCAGGAAAATCAAATGGATGCTGTAAATGCTGCAGCTGCCGTTGCTCAATCAGCCATACAGCAACTGAATGCCACCAAAACTGGTACTAGCAGCTATTTCGATTCAGAGCAGTGCCCTACAGGAGTAGATGGCAAGAAGTACCGTAAGTATTTTTTCTAAGACATACTAAAAACCATACAAAATTTTGTTTTTATTTAATATCTTTTGTTAATTTTCCTGTGATAAGCAGTTAATCAATGACAATTTAAATACAGGGTGAGTCATAACTATTGGGACATAGACTAAGGACAGGTTATTTGGGCCAAAATATGGCTATTGGTCCAAAAATGCCTTAATAAAATGTTGCTGAGAAAAAAGATACAGGGTGTTAAAGTGGAAATTTAAAATTTTATTTTTGGCTATAACTTTCATGTTTGCAAATATTTATGTATAAAAATTTACAGCTGGGTACTATTGAATATCAGAAATTATAATTTGATGCATACTTTAATATATATAATAGAGAGCGCCACATACGTGGCATACATTTACACTTAACTTTTTTGTTCTTCAAGTTACCGGTATTCTTGATAAAAAATATTAAAGATACGTTATTTTGCCAAAAAAATGGTATACTTGTTAATAACTTTAAAACTCAACAGTTTTCGAGATAATCGCATTTTACAAATCAACTGCATGATTCTGATTTAACACAATTACTCCAGGCAATGAAAGAAAAATAGATAAAAACATCAATACTTCTGAATTTTGTTATTAAATACCTTTAATAAAGTCAATATTTAACGAAATATTAAATAAAATAAATATGTATATCAGCAGGATAATTAATAATAGGATTTGATAAAATAACAGAATAATTGGATTTTACATCAAACATTTTACCTTTTGTATTAAATTAAAGTCATAATCAAAACATTTTATTTACAAACCAAATTAAATAATAGTTAAACTAAATAACATTAAACTTTTTGTCAAAGTAAGTGTTCGATATGTCCACCATTTTCTTTAATTCATTTGTCAATACATTCCATAAAATATCGTCTCATATTAAATAGCATCATTGGTTCTAAAGAAACTGCTGCAGTATTTATTATAGTTGTTTTAAGTATAATAATAAGTAATTTTTTGAAATTTTTATGCATTAAATAGTTATTATGATCTCACCACAAGAATATGACTGCCACGAACAATCCAACGTTCAGGAAAGTGTATTTAAACACTGTCTTACTCCGCTTTCTCTGTAATGTAATGGTGTACCATCTTGTAGAAACCACATATTTCGCCTTAAGTTTGATGACAATTCTTTCAATAAATCAATAAAATCATTTTATAAAAAATGTCCATAAATCTCAACATTTAAATTAAAAGGTAATTCGCATATCTGTAAAATATCGTTCAAAATTCATATTTACAATGCATGTCATATGGTTTGGAACCATTGATAATTATTTTTTTTCGGATATGCGAATTACCTTGCAATTTGAATGTCGAGATATATTTACATTTTTTATAAAATGATTTTATTGATTTATTGGAAGAATTGTTATCAAACTTAAGGCGAAATATGTGGTTTCTACAAGATAGTACACCATTACATTACAGAGAAAGCGGAGTGAGACAGTATTTAAATACACTTTCCTGAACGTTGGATTGTTCGTGGTAGTCATATTCTTGTGGTGAGATAATAATAATTATTTAATTATTATTATCTCACTATTAATAAAAATTTCAAAAAATTATTTATTATACTTAAAACAACTATAATAAATACTGCAGCAGTTTCTTTAGAACCAATGATGCTATTTAATATGAGACGATATTTTATGGAATGTATTGACAAATGAATTAAAGAAAATGGTGGACATATCGAACACTTACTTTGACAAAAAGTTTAATGTTATTTAGTTTAACTATTTTTTAATTTGGTTTGTAAATAAAATGTTTTGATTATGACTTTAATTTAATACAAAACGTAAAATGTGTGATGTAAAGTCCAATTATTCTGCTATTTTATCAAATCCTATTATTGATTATCCTGCTGATATATTTATTTTATTTAATATTTCGTTAAATATTGACTTTATTAAAGGTATTTAATAACAAAATTCAGAAGTATTGATGTTTTTATCTATTTTTCTTTCATTGCCTGGAGTAATTACGTTAAATCAGAATTATGCAGTTGATTTGTAAAATGCGATTATCTCGAAAACTGTTGAGTTTTGAAGTTATTAACAAGTATACCTTTTTTTTGGTAAAATAACGTATCTTTAATATTTTTTATCAATAATACCGGTAACTTGAAGAACAAAAAAGTTAAGTGTAAGTGTATTCCACGTATGTTTCATATGTAGCGCCCTCTATTAGATATATTAAAGTATGCATCAAATTATAATTTCTGATATTCAATAGTACCCAGCTGTAAATTTTTATACATAAATGTTTACAAACATGAAAGTTATAGCCAAAAATAAAATTTTAAATTTCCACTTTAACACCCTGTATCTTTTTTCTTAGCAACATTTTATTAAGGCATATTTGGCCCAATAGCCATGTTTTGGTCCAAATAACCTATCCTTAGTCTATGTCTCAATAGTTATGACTCACCCTGTAATATTAAACCTCGATCTATAAATAGTTATATGATTGTTAACAAAAATTAGGTGGAGAAGATTTTGGGCAATTGTTTAAGTGTAACACAATACAATAAATGAAGTATTTTGTGCATTTATTTTTTTGAAAAAAAATTATATTTACAAGATTTCACCATATATAATTTGTTGAGCCATTTTTAATTTACAAAGTTAATTTTTTACAGCTGTCCCTGATACTGCCCGGTACATATATGATAAAAACACTGGTTATCAATACTGCCAGACTACTGGTCTCTACTATGACCCTAGTTCGAAATATTACTGGAATGCAAACATTCAAAAGTGGCTGTACTGGGATCATGACAAGCAAACTTATAGTTTGGCTCAGTCTGACGATGCTTCCAACAAACAATCTACAATAGAGAATGCTACTCAAGAACCTGAAACAAAAAAACAGAAAGTTGACAAACAAGATAAAGTGAAAGTTGCGAAAAAGATTGCAAAAGATATGGAGAGGTGGGCTAAAACGCTTAACCAGAAAAAGGAGAGCTGCAGCGTGAAAACAACTACTGAATTTATTGGATATCCTAATATTGCTTCAGCAGACATAGGATTTTCTGTCTTGGAAAAGAAAGCTTTAGCAGGACCTACTACATCCGCTGCCGCTAGTTCTACTCCACTTGCACCTTACATTAAGGAAGTTGATGATCGTTCACCTACTCTTCCGGGACCTCTTGTAGCAGCTTATGGAGGAGAAAGTGATTCTTCGGGTAAGTCTACATATTTTAATACTAACTAGCTTCACTTCGTGTATATACGCTTTAATTGATTTCGCCTTTAAAAAATATGAAAATATAATGATAGTTGGTGACATTAACATAAATATCGAAGTAAACACAGGGCATGTTTGTGAAATACGAAATTTCTTAACCATGTACGGTTTAAAACATTTCATAAAAGCGCCCACAAGAGTGTCACTTACTTCAAGCTCTTGCCTTGATAATATATTTACTAATATTAATGAACAAAATTTAAATACAGGTGTCTACGATCCTGTAATATCTGATCATTTGGGTATATTTGCTATTGTGAGTGGTTTAAAAAATGTGTCTACAATTATAGAAAAGACTAAAAAAAGATTAATTAATGAAAAAAATATTAAGAATTTTGTGGAAAAAATTAAATCCAAAGATTGGACTGTGTTTGACGATATCCAATGTAATTCAAACAACATGACAGAGTTGTTTATGAAATATATGTGTGAAGAATACAACATTTGTTTTCCTTTAAAAAACATGAATAGCAGAAAAAGTGCTATTCATTGGTTTAATCAGAAACTTCGAGATTTAAGAAAACAACTCTATGATTGTAAAGCAACTTATAGAAAAACACATACTATTGACAATTGGATTAAATATTGTCAAATACGAAAAAAATATAAACAAGCAATAAAAGCTGAAAAACGTACTGCTTATGCTAACATAATTAACAAATCCACCAACAAAAGTAAGACAATATGGAGTATTGTTAAAAAAGAAACCTATAAGGAACATATTACGTCTAATCTGAACTTAACACCAGAAGAAATTAACCAATACTTTACGAATATAGCAGATATTATATCGAAATCAATAGGAGACTCTGAGCATGACATAAACTACTATCTTAGCAGGCTACCTAGAAGGTCAAGTTCGTTCTTTATGTCTCCAATAGTAGCATCTGATGCTACTATATATAAAATTCCTCATGTGTTGACTACTATGGTTTTAACAGTTGAACCACTCACAATAATATTTAACAAATGCATTAACGAGGGTTACTGGCCTGATGTATTCAAAATATCAAAAGTAATTCCACTTCATAAAAAAGGAAATACAAATGCTCCTGACAATTACAGACCTATTACCATAGTACCAACAATAAGTAAAATTTTTGAAATCTTAATTAAAGATTGTATATCAAATTATTTGGATAACAAATCAATTATATCTAGCTCTCAATTTGGTTTTAGAAAAAAATACTCAACAACTAAAGCTTTATTAGAAGTAATAGAACATATTGTTCACGGTTTTGATGCAGGTGAACCTACTAATGGCTTAATGTGTGACCTTACAAAAGCTTTTGATTGTGTAGATATTCAAACACTATTGATAAAATTGGAGTACTATGGAATAAGGGGCACCATACATGACCTTTTAAAATCCTATCTTACAGGAAGAACACAGATTGTTGCATTTAATAATCAAGAATCTGATCCTTTACCAGTTTCAACCGGAGTACCACAAGGATCAGTTTTGGGCCCTCTACTATTCTTGATATATATATATATATATATATATATATATATATATATATATATATATATATATATATATATATATATATATATATATATATATATATATATATATATATATATATATATAATGATTTACCAAGTGCATTGGATAACACCAACTGTGTTCTTTTTGCAGATGACACAACCTTATTATGTAGAGGTAAAACTGATTACAGTCAGGATATATTAGAAAAATCTAAATCCTGGTTTAACTGTAACAAACTTAAGTTAAACGAGCAGAAAACCCAGACAATCGTATTTAGTTCTGATAGATGGGTTACACCATCTGAACCAGTAAAGTTACTAGGTGTTACTATGGATACAAGGTTAAACTGGTCGCACCATATTGAACGATTGTGTAGGGGGCTCGCCTCACAGATTTTTGCTATGCGCAGATTGGCTACTTCTGTGAGTCGAGATATTCTGGAATGGTTTATTTTGGAATGGTTCATAGTATCCTGACATATTGCATACTTCTTTGGGGAAACTCGTCCTATGCATATAAAGTTTTCACTTTTCAAAAAGCAGCAATCCGAATTATTGACTCGGCAGAATATCGCGCCAGCTGTAAACCCTTATTTAAGAAGTATGGCATTCTTCCTTTACCTTCAATATATATATTTGAAACTTTGTTCACTATTCATAATAATATAAAAGATGTAAAATCACATGCTGATCAACATCATATCATTACAATACAAGAAATAAAAGTCATATCATTATACCATATTCCAGATTGTGTGTTACACAACTTAATACAATGGATTATAATCTGTATAATTGTTTTTTAAACTTAAACAAAAATATTGATATTAAGGCAATGAATTCTAAACAATTTTATAAATTAGCAAAACACTTCCTGCTGGAACACTGTTTCTATAGTATACAGGAATTTGTTTGTTTGAGCTCCTAGTGTGGTCGTTTTTAATGAAAACTATATTACGCCTTACTGAAATGTTTCTTTCTTATTTGTTATAATTTTATATATCTAATTTTCACTGTAGATGTTGTATTATATGTTCTTGTATTATTTCTTAGTTCTTAGTATACAAAAGTAAATTATTTTTATTGTGACATGACATGTAGTGTTTACTATGTAAAAATTGTCAATAAACCTATCTATCTATCTATACATTAATTAATATGCTTGTTATTTACAGGTGAGGAAGATGATGACTTCCTAGATTACACAAATTTGATTTGCAACCTCTGCAAACGTAGATTAAACTCAGCAGAAGCTTTAACCAAACATTCTAAGATGTCATCTTTACATCTACAGAATCTCGAATTGCGCAACAAGAAATCTACTAAATTCGGTGAAACCGTGGCTGATAAAGCTGCTTACCGTGATCGTGCTAAAGAACGAAGAATGAAATTTGGAGACCCAGATGCTCCAAAACCTAGCAAGCTCAAAGAAAAGTACTTAAAAGCACGGGAGGCGGAGATTTCAATGCCGTCTTCTTCCGTTTTGGAGCCGATTGGAGCTGAGAATGTCGGAAATAGGTTGTTACAAAAAATGGGATGGACCGAAGGTCAAGGTCTAGGAAAACAAAATCAAGGAAGGACAAGCATCATTCAGGTATTATGTCACGCATTTATTTTTTAACTGTAGTGTTGTACTACGGTTACTACGACACACACTATTCCTGCTTGGGACGTCATCGGTCAGATTATGACGGGGCGTTTGGGTTAGCGCGAAGATTCTTAACGGCGAAAATTGGATTGGTTGACGGAGCGGACGATGGTTTCTTTAGACGGTTTCTCCGTGTCGTCAGCCGGTTGCCGTCATCTCTTTTATTGAAACAATTTGGATGTTTTTCGATCTGTATGACTTCTCGGATCATTCTTGGTTTGTAGAAATGGATGGGGACTATAGTTGTGGATTTTTAATACGTATATTGTAAATACGCCTTCTTCTTCTTCTTCTGGTAGCACTACAACCCGGGGTGGGTCTTGGCTGACTGCACAACCTGCTTCCATCTCGAACGGTCGTCCATGATGTTTAAGTCAGTGGGTAGCCCCATTGTTCTCAAATCTGACCATATATTATCTCTCCATCGCATTCGTGGACATCCTGAAGGCCTTCTCCCTGTCGGGACTTCTTTCCAGATTAATTTGGTAATGCGGTTATTAGGGAGCCTATGAACATGACCAGCCCATCTTAGACGTTGGGATTTAATCTGTTGGACTACGTCGCTAGCACTATACATTTGTTTGACCTCGGTATTGGTTAGTATTCGGATCGTGATAGGGACCGAAGATCTTTCTGAGGATTTTTCTCTCAAAGCATCTGAGTTTCACACCCATACATGAGCACCGGTCTAATTACTGTTTTATATATCTTGATTTTTAATGTTCGTGTTAGGCTCTTGGATTTAATAGTGTTGTGGAGGCTATACATACATCTGTTTGCTGCCTGAATTCTCCCTTTTATCTCTTCCGTGATATCGTTATCTGTGGTGATAGTCGCTCCGAGATACTTAAAACTCTCCACTCTTTCAAAGTTATAGGGGTCTATTGTTACATTTTGTCCTATTCTATCTCGTCTCTTTTGTCTGTTAATGCACATATATTTGGTTTTCTCTTCATTGACCCTTAGACCGGTATTTTTGACCCTCTCTTTCTAATTTATTGAAGGTTTCTTTTACATTGGTGACGGTATTTCCTACAATGTCAATGTCATCCGCGTATGCTAGTAGTAATTTTGGTCCATTTACTGTCAGTAGTTCTGTTCTAATTTGTGCGGTTCTTACTACTTTTTCCAGGATTATATTAAAAAGAAGAGGTGACAGCGCATCTCCTTGTTTCAGTCCACTGTTTATTTCAAACGACTCTGAGAGCGTGTTACCTATCCGCACTCTAGATCTACAGCCATTTACACAAACTTTAACGAGCTGGATAAGTTTTTTGGAACTGAAAGTTCTGCCATTGCATTCCACATCTGATCCCTTTTAATGCTGTCGTATGCTTGTCGGAAATCTATGAAGAGATTATGAATGGTTCTATTGAATTCCCATCCTTTTTCAAGCAGCTGCCTGAGAGTAAAAATCTGATCTATGGTCGATCTATTTTTTCTGGATCCGGCTTGGTATTCCCCTATGAAATTTTCTACAAAAGGTGTTAGTCTACTTAATAGGATGTTCGATAAGATTTTGTACGCCGTATTAAGTAGGGAGATGCCTCTATAGTTAGAGCACTTGGTTTTGTCTCCCTTTTTATGGATAGGAATTATTACACTTTCGTGCCATTTTGTTGGTATTTTCTCTTCGTTCCATATAAGTGTTATTAGTTTGTGTAATTGTCTATGTAAAGTTTCTCCTCCGTACTTAAGAAATTCGGCTGGTATATTGTCAGAGCCTGGAGCTTTTGCGTTCTTCAATTTGTTAATTGCTTGCAATGTTTCGTCTATTTTTGGGTACTCTACCGGTTTTTATTTTATTTAGCGTATGGACTTTCACAGTACTCTACCGGTAGGTCCACCCCAAGGTAAATATCCTCTCCATGTTCTTCATCTTGGTGTATATTAAGTAAATTTTTGAAATATTCTTGCCATGTTTGGAGTAATTCTTGTTCGTTGATTATTAATTTATCATTATTTTTCCTCAGTACAGACATGCAGTTAGGTCTGAATCCTCTCTTTTCGTTTGACACAGATTTGTAAAATGCTCGACTATTTGACTGTTGTATATTTCTTTCCATTTCTTCATACTGCTGTTGTTCGTATTTTCTTTTTTTCTCTCTAATTAGTTTTCTTGTTTCTCGTCGTGATGTTGTATAGTTTTCTTTACTTTCTGTTGTTTCTTGTTGAAGCATGTTTCGTTTTTCCTGTCTGTCTTGTAGTTTTTCTTGCATTCTTTATCAAACCATTTCCTTGTTTTCGTCCTTCTTTTTCCTATTATTAGTTCTGCTGACTCTGTAATTGATTTTTCCATTTGTTGCCACAGCCTTTCGACATCATTGCTCTGGTCTATTCTATTTAGATGTTGTTCCATTTCCTGTACGTAATTGTCTCGGATTTCCTTATTTTGCGTTTTCTCAATGTTTCACTGTCCCAATGCTTCGTTCGTTTTAAGTTTCTGTGATGATATTCTCAACCTGATTTTTGCTCTTACTAGGTAATGGCACAGAATAATAAACAATCAGAAGAAGTTTTTCAGCACGCGCGCCATGTTTTAGGAGGACATAAACATATGATTTGTGAGGTTATGCAATTGTTTACATTTATGTTTAATTATATTATATTTATGTTATTATATTTAAAACTGTTAATATAATGGTATAGTATGTCTATGATTGCCGTAAGTCAAATAAACCTGGTTTTTTTCCATGCACACCACATAAACAACACTGGATCCCTTTAAAATCCTCGTAAAACATGGCGGAACGTCTACGCGAAGGAGATGCGCATACTTAATTTTCCGTGGAGAGTGGGCATTCTGTTTGTTTATTATTCTGTGGTAATGGTCTGTGACTTACTAGGTAATGTTTAAATACGCCTGTATAAGATAATGTTGACCTACAGCTGAAACTGAATCGGAATCGCTCTCTTTAGTCCTGACCCTTCTGAGGGAGTGTAGTGGTCATCATGATGTCGTGTATTATCAGTCTCCAAAGATCTCTGCCACTGGTCATTTAGTTCAATTCATGCATAGGTCTCTTGCATATTCCTGTAATATGGTTGATCCATCTTGTTGGGGATTTTCCTCATGATCTTCGGCCTTCTACCTTTCATTGGATAAGGCTTTCCATGTTTTCTGAGTGTGTTCTCATAACATATCTAAAGTATTTTAATTGTTGGAGGTTGCCTTTGCTGGAGAGCCATTTGCTGACATTTAGTTCATCTAAAATCAAATTATTTGTCCTGTGGTCGGTCCACAGAATTCGTAATATTCTTCACCAACGTAACATTCATTTCTGTAGCGTCTTTTGTCCAGTCGTCAGGCCATTGGTTGGAATCCCATATTTTGTAGCTTTGATTATTTCTGTTCTTATTACATCTGTACCTGGTGCTTTGTTATACTTGAGGTTACTGATTGTCAGTCTTATTTCATTCTCGGGTATATTAGTTTCTTTTTCGATTTCTTCAGGGATTTGGTGAATAAGGTCTTGGCGTTGATCATCTATATATAAATCTCAGCAATATAATCTCCATGTCTCTGTTGGATCTCAGGGTTCCTGTGTGGTCTTCAACGGTTCAATTTTTTTGTTCAACGGTTCAATTAGATCTCTCGGCTGATTGTTTTGAACGTGGCTCTCAATTTCTTTGCATATATTGTGGAAGTATTGTTATTAATCAGCATTACATCTTCGTTTTATTTCTTTATTGAGGTTTCTTAAACGGACTGTTTCCTTTTCACCATGTACACAACTTTGACAAAGATTTCTTCTATTCTCAATTATTTTAAGGGTTTCATATGTTATTCTGTGTTTTTGTTTCACACGGTTATTTAGCTTTGGCGATTGGTTGCTGTTGTTACACAATGTTTAATAGTCTCCCATATTTCTTGTGTGGTGCACCCTTACGAATAGAGGACATACTTTGTTGCACTACTTGGAGAAGGGCGTCCTTCTTTCTTCATTTCTTTCCTCCTCTCTCCGTTTGTTGTGCGCTTTAAGTTTGAGCTGTCGAGGTACAAGGAATCAGACTATAAGAACAGAAATGGAATGTTAATAAATCCTGTTTTGGATTCAACTATTGGTTTGCTATGTAAGATCGTGGGTAGTCCGCAACGAATTTTTTAAACTCCTTGTTCATTTGGAATGTTGTCTTTGAGTGATCGGACAAGAGGTGAAAGGTTTTGTTGAGTGGTAAATATTGTCTTTATTCACCTTGATTTGAGAATATTGTCGATTTTGTCAGTGACCCCTTAAGGCAGAAAAGTTATCTTATACGATCTACTTGGATCATCGCAAGGCTTATTAATCCGCAAGCTAGGGTATTAATGATTAAATTAATTTGTAATGTGTGAAAATTAGTTTCGATTTCCGTGAACTGGTTACGAGGATGCAATATCATTTAGATCTACCCTGCATGATGACCTGCAGAAGACTATATTTATTATTCCTCAGTATGTGTCCAAGGTATGCAGTCTTGCGTACTTTTATTGTTCTCAACAATTTTTTGTCTCTGGCAGTCCATGGAATTCTCAACATTCTCCGGTATATCCAAAGTTCAAAGGCTTCAAGCTTCTTAACTGTTTGCGCTTTTAACGTCCATGTTTCTATCTCGTACAATAGTTGGGACCAGACGTAACTTTCAACAAACCTCAGTCTCAGCGCAGTATTCAAATTTTTGTCACAGAACAATTACTTGAATTTTAAGAACGCTGCCCTTGCCATTTCTATTCGTACTCTAATCTCTTGGTCTGGATCTAATTCTGTGTTGATGTAAGCTCCCAGATATTTATATGTTGTCACTCTCTCTATTTTTTGTTCACCAAGGGTAGTTGTTCATTATTTATTGGACTCCTTGATACTATCATAAATTTGGTCTTATATGTGTTGATGTCAAGTCCCATTTGAATGCATGCACTATTTATTGCATCTAGTAGAGTTTCATCTGCAAATCTCATGATGTTTACGATTTCTCCACCAATTCTTATTCCCTCTTTTCTTTCCCATAAGGTTTTTCTGAATATGATCTGTGAGTACACGTGTCTTTTTTGTCTAAATTGATGTTTTTTAATTCATCTATTAACTGCATATGCTGCACTCATTCAAAGGCCTTCCTAAAGTCTATGAAGCATACGTATGACCTCTTGTTATATTCCCGATGTTTCTGCACGAGTACCGTCAACTAAACTAATGCCTCTCTTGTACCCATGCCTCTTCTGAAGCCAAACTGCGTTTGATCTATCTATTCCTCACATTTCTTATAAATTCGGTGTTGAACAATTTTCAGGAGAATCTTTAAGGGGTGGCACATTAGGCTTATCAATCTATAGTCATTACATGATTTGGGATAGTTGTTTTTTGGTAGAAGTAAAAATATCGATTCAAGTCATTCCTCCGGTATGTTGCCCTCTATATATATGTGGTTGAGAATTCGGGTGAGTCTCTTTATATTACCGTCATCTAAGGCTTTTAACAGTTCAACTGGAACTTGATCAGGAGCCGGTGCTTTTCCTTGTTTTGCATTATATAGGCCATACTTTACTTCTGAGGGTAAAATTTGTAGGTATTGTTCTTCTTCATCTATATCTTGTTCATTTTCCCTCTCGTCATGGAACAGATGGATTATATATTGTTCCCATACTTCCTTTATTTTGCTCTCTTCAGTAAGTATACCTCCATTATTATCTCTTGTTATGAGTGTTCTTTTTGTCTGGTGTTGCCTGTAAGTTCTTTGATTTTTTTATGTAAGTTTGAGTTGTCATGTTTGTTGTTGAGTTCTTCCAGTTCCTGGCATTCCTTGTTCATCCATTTATCCTTAGCGTTTATGGCTTTATATTTGATTTTATTCTTGATGGTTTTATATTTATTTCCATCTTAATTTTTATATTTTCTTTTTTCAGTTATTAGCTCAACTATTTCCGGTGTCATCAAGTTTTTTTAGTGGTTTTCTCTTCTATGACCTCTTTTTCCGCTTTTAGTATGGCTTGTTTCATATCTACCCATTCTAAGCTTCCTTCAATTAATTTATTTATCTCTGCGTTTAGTTGCTGTTGGCAATTGTCGTCTTTTAGGTTTTTGATGTTTGTTTTGGTGGTTTTAACTTTTTTCTCTAATGCTATATAGTCATATATAGACTACAGTGGAACCTCGATTATCCGTCAGGGCACCGAACCAAGGGTATGACGGATAATCGAAAAGACGGTTAACAGAACATTAAAAATTCATAGTATAACTCTCAAATTTTATTTGTATTATTTGTTTTATTTGACAATATAAGAAGCATTTATGTTAGTACAGTCGAATCAATTTGATTTAAGATATTCCGAAATTTTTGTTTGTTTTATTGTTACTTCACATTTTGCAACGGCTGAATTTCTTACTCGTCGTAAAATCATCAAATCTACCTTATTTGCTTCTTCTTGCCGAGAGTACCACTCGTTGAATTGTTGTATGTGCGATGCAGCTTCTCTAGCTTCTCAAATTTTTGTGAGTTGCAATAGCCAACATCGCCACCGTCAAAATCTGTGTCAGTTTCTGAATCAGTTTCGTCCATCTCTGTTGCCATTTCAACGATTTCATCCTCTGTCAGCAATCGATAGCCGTTTGCGTTTTCGTCACAAATTAACCATTTGTTTATGTCATCTTTAGGCAACGAAAACAAAGCAGTTGATTCAGCCATAACTTCATTTGATAACGCATCGTGCTCGGCTATCACGGGGGCATTTTCATCTTGAGTTGAGTCAGGCCATAATTAATTCCACGCTCTTTTCAGCGTTACTTCCGAATCATCAGCCGAAGCATCCACAAGATTGCCGACTGCGTGTTATTGTATGCTTTCCAGTATTCTGGCAAAGAATATTCCTCTTCCATAACAAGGTTTTGAATAATTTTTGCTGTATCTTCTTTTGAATCTTTCAATGACCGATTGATCCATTGGCTGTATCAGTGATGTTGTATTCGCAGGCAGAAAAGAGCATGTCACATTTTCATCGTCAGTTCGCAGCATACCGGCTTCAGGATGGGCAGATGCATTGTCCAAAATGAGAATCGCCTTTGATGGCAAATTTTTTGCTTGCAAGTATTGTCGAACGTCCGGTATAAAAATCTAAAAAAACAAGACGTTAGAACAATAGACAAACAAATTTTGGTTTGCAGTACATACCTTTTTGAACCAGTCAACGAATATTTCCTGGGAGATCCATGCATTATGTTGTACCTAGTAGTTAACGGAAAGCGCGTTCATATTTATGCCCTTAAAACAACATGGTTTTTTTCTTCTGTACCAATCAATATTAAAGGCAGCCGAAGGTCACCACTTGCATTTGAACACATCATAGCCATGATTTGTTGCTTTTGTGTTTTAAACCCGGGTGCATATTTTTCAGACAGTGCAGCGAGTGTTTTCGTTGGCAATGAATTGTAGTTTAATCCAGTACTTTCATCCGCATTGAACACTTGATCGCGTGTCAAACCATATCATAGCTAACTGTCTTTTATATTCGTCAACGATTTCAATGCTTGCGGCGCTCAATTTTTCGTCTTCGATTTTCAGTTCTTGTATACCGTGTCGATTTTTGAACTTTTCCAACTAAACACTGCTTTCTTTGAATGAAGGATCGCCATTCAATTTCATGTTGAAAATCAACGCTTTTCGGCAACGATTGGTCCAGGCAAAGCGACACCTTTGCTGCTTTTTTTAACGAAACACAAATACAGAGTCGTGTCGAGTGATTCATTTGTGGCTTTTTCACTGTCTTACGATGTTTCAACCGACCATCCAACGATTTCGTTTGCGAAGCATACTTTTTAATTCCTTCAGCATTTTTCTTTGAATCATTGATTGTTCTCAAAACATCATACTTTTTGCTCAATGCGACAGCAGAAGCACCTTTCTTTAGTTCTGCAATAATTTCTATTTTTTTTTAATTGACAAAACAACACGTTTTATTTTTGATGCTCCAGATGTGAAAGGCTCCATTTTTCCAAACTTTGATCAAACGGCTAAGTGACACAATCAATGTTCGAATGTGAATCAAACTGAATTATAATGACACAAAGATATTGCCTGTAATAATTATTGTGCTGTGCGTTTTTATTTTCGGCTTGCCATTCTAAAAATATAACCCTAAAAGCACGGTATCATTTATCATTACCTATTTAAATTGAAATTTAATCCAGAGCCCTAAATAAAAACAAAAAAATATTTACATAAAAAAATGAGGTGGTGTCATAACTGCCCGTGTACATTTCGACGAATTTCGTTTGGCTTATCCCAATGCTCAAACAAAATGACTAAATGTTTACTTATGTAGTTAATATAATTTATGTATGGACCCTGACGGTTAACAGAGGTGACGGTTCATAGAGAGACGGATAATCGAGGTTCCACTGTATATATAGTCGTATAGACTAATGCTATATAGTCAGATAATATTTTCCATGCCTGTTTGTGTATTTATTTGTGTGTTTAGGCACATGTAAATAAATTTATTACACTTCATTTTTGTTTGTAGGCGGAGCAGCACAGTAGCACGGCAGGTTTAGGTAACAAGCTGGCAGGATACACGGCTGTGGCAGGTGAAAGTTACAAAGACTGCGTTAAGAAGATGATGTACGCTCGTTACCAGGAGTTGACAGAAAAGGAACTTAACAACTAACGTTTGGTGTTTATTTTTGATTGTTTTTATTTGATTGTATATATGACTTATTTGTAAGATCTTCATATTATTTTATATATCTTTATATATTACAATTGCCGAGCGCATAGTATTCAATATTTTAGCATAGGAATTGCTAATTATTTTTATATTTTTTGCGTTTTATTATATTATTTATCTTTTGTGTACTTTCTTTAATTATTATACTTTGTGTGTTTTCTTTTATTATAGAAATGGCACACATACTGGCAGATTGTAGAATAGCAATGCTTTTATAAAGTTAAGGTACTTCCTGTGGATTTGATTTTCATGCCACCATTTCATTGGCGATCAAATAGTTGTTTTAGGCTCATGCCTTCCAAAGTTACTATTAAATTAAAAAAAACGTAAATTTATTACTACATAGATTACATAAATATACCTTTTATAGTATAGTTCGACAAAAAGTCTGATTTTTTACATAAACCACTGGAAACAACGGTTTTATAAATTTTTATTAATTCATTCTCGTCAGCTTTTATGGTATAAGCATCTATCTTCTCTCAAGTATTTCAACATGTGTACAACTATGCAATCTTGCTAACAATTTTGAAGGGAAGAAGTATTTTCGTACAGTTGGTGAACATTGTAACGAAGTTTGGTTGAGGTTTTAATGTAAAAATTTTAGTAATAAACTAGGCAAAGGTTATTACAATATTAACATTTGGTCAGAACAGAATCCACCAATGACGAACGTTTTTTTTTCTAAATTATTTATACTTCATCTAATTTAGATAACGACTTACGTCATTATCTTCGTCAGAGATCGAAGTTGACATAGTTGCCAAAGTATAAAAAAATCCTGACTCCATTTTAAATCAAATAGGTCACATAATTATTGCAAAAGTATTACCATCTCTTTACAACGACTATTTAAATTCTTAAGTGACATTTTTGAAATAAAACACACTTATTTTGTTCTAAAAAGAACAGATTTTATTAGATAGTTAAAAATATAAAACAAGAGATATTCACTTTAAAATTAAAAATAATAAACTACAAAAAGTGTCAACACCGCAACTGTCAAATAAGTGTTATCAATTTATGCCAAAATTTTACCTTCGTTCGATTACAGTTACAGTGTGTTCCGAAAAAATGTTCTTGATTCTTGTTCTTGAACATAAAGATGTTCCCTTTATAATGGATTTATACAAATTAAATGAAACATTATTATTGTGTATTTCTTTAAGTGAACATTAATAGAAATGTTTAAATATTATTTCTACGCGTATATAATAAAATATGTCTAGTGGCTGTAATACCAGTGTACTCGGTAAAGTGATTGTAAAAAAGAACACACCTAAACCTTAAATATTTCGTGTTGGTATCATATGACGTCACAGGCTATGACGCCGATGACGTGCATCGTTATATAAATTAGATGAAGTGTACATCCATATTAACTATTTAAAAATATAGCCTAAAATCTTCTTACTATTCTTAGACATATTTTTGTTTAACTGACTTATTTCATTATTATTTACGGAGTTGAAATAAATCTATTGTAGTTAGAGCAGAGTTTCCCAAATGGTGGGTCGCGACCTGGTACCGGGCCACGAAAGTAAAATGCCGGATCGCCTCGCCGTATTACATCTAGCTTTTTAAGGCCGCGTTCTGACTGACGCAACCGCTTTTATTTTAAAAAATTTATTAAAAATCCTTTGTAAAAGGTATATATTTAGTATACTAAAATATACCTTTTACAAAGGATTTTTAATAAATTTTTTAATATATGGTATACAGCCAACACCAGGAACGTAGATTATTTTATTAATTTATTAATTTTAATTTTTGAGCGGCAATAATACGACAGTCGAGTATTGTTCACCCAGAAGCAAGTGCCAGTGGTGGTGATTACAAACGGACGCTCGATTCGCAGTCTACAACTGTCACAAAAAAGAAGAAGGAGTCCTGGACCCGACAATATTCTGAAGATTACTTGCAGTTCGGTTTTATAAAGGACTGATGACAAACCATTATGCGTTATTTGTTATGCTGCACTTTCAAATGAGTCTATGAAACATTTAAAATTCAAGTGGCACTTGGAATTGAAGCACCAGGAATACAGAAGTAAGCGAATAGAATTTTTTATAAATAAAAAGAGATAATAGCTACCAAAAATACTATGTCTTTGAACTTTTCTCAGAACGCTCAATCTGAAAACCTCTTACTGGCTTCTTATTAAATATCAAAATTAGTTGCTGAAACCGGTTATCCTCACATAATTGTCGAGAAATTAATAGTTCCCTCAATGAAAACAGTAGCATCTCAGATAAGTATGTGATAAAAAAGCAATTGAATTCACTGGCTTTATCAAATAACAGTGAAGCGTATGATTGTGGAGATGCCAGATAATATTTAAGAAACTAACTTAAAGGGTGTAACTATTTTTCCTTGTAAGATGCAATTTTGAAAATACTATTCTCAAAGAATTTCTATTTTGTAAATCTGTCAACAAGACCAATGGCTGAAGGAATGTTTTGTCTGATTAATAGCTACATTAAATTGAATGAAATAAATGTGTGGAACTATGTAGCACGGCAAAGTCAGGCGCTCGTACTGGACTTTTCCGAGGATCAAAGCCGTAGCACCAGAATGTGTATGGGTGCATTGTAGCATCTACAGAGAAAAAATGCCACTGCTTTTAACCTAGTCTTTTCAAGAACGTGTAAAATTTATAAATTTCATAAAATCTCGCCCACTTTCTGAACACTGAATGGACCATTCATAATTTCCTGTATTTCAATTTATTAGTTTCAGAAATTGCTTATCGGTAAAAACAATAGGCTCTTCATAATCCAACACTCGTAAATTCCCAAGTTTTTTTCTTTTTTATTTAATTAATGGCTTGGATAACTTCGATAACTTTTTGAGAACCCTATAAGAAATTGATTGTCATTCGATGTTTGTGTAATATTTAAGAATATGTTCTAAAGCAATATGCAACCATATTTTTTTTGTTTTCTTTATAAAAATTACAATAAAGTCGTGTCGGTTAGATAGCCAAGCGGGTTAGGCAGCCGGTTCTCATTCGCTTCATTGCAAATGGCTCAGTGGATGTGAGTTCGAGCCCCAGCTCGGTGTACAGAAAAATAAAACGTCTAACGCAGCAGTTTAAAATTCTAGATGAATCTGCGGCTTAGACTAGAATATGCTGGTGTCTGATCGGCCTATGGTGGAACAGTACGGCAAGAGATAAGGGCTTGCGGCTAGGTGATACTCCTCCATAGATCCCTACCGGAAGGGCGTGCCGCCTAAATACCGGTGTATATATATAAACAATAAAGTCATCATTTTTAATAATATGTATTACTATTTCTATTTTGAGTTCCACTTGAAGATCTTAGCATTCTTCCATGAGCGCCAAACGAAGCTGCTCACGATTTATTGGACAAGTATTCTGTTTCTTACTGTTACTTTGAGTTCGTCCCAAGCATGCTCAATCGGGTTCAAATCTGAGCTTTGAGCCGGCCAATTCATTTTTGGCACACCGACGGTTTCCAGGTATTGCGTTACCATCCTGGCTGATGTATCAGTGAGCATTCAACGCTATTCTATTAATCTAACACGAGATCAATACGGACTTAAATGAAATGCCTGCCAAAACATTACAGAGCCTCCTCCAAAGGCAACACATGCTCGTCGAGCACAAGCAGCATAACTTTCCCCCATGTCTTTTGGAACTTTTTGATGCAACCATCTGAGCCATAAAATAACCATCCTGGACTCATCACTAAAAAAAAATTTTCCAATCTTCTATCGTACAATGCTCGTGATCTCTAGCAAACTCAAGGCGGCGTTGTCGATGTGCTGCTGTTAACAAAGATCCTGTTACTGGCCAGCGAGCCCTTAGACCAAATTCCCTCAAATAATATGAACCAGTGAGCATTTTGAAGTTGCTTGAGTGGAGACCACGGGCTGACAAGCGAGGCCGAGGAAGACCCCCAACGCGATGGACCGACTACCTCAAAAGAATCGTGACCTACCTATAGGCCTCCTCTAAAAATCTAGAGGAGGCCTATATTCAACAATGGACAACTCAGGGCTGATTGATGATGATGATGAGCATTTTGAAAACGGTTTTGGATTGCTCTAGCCGTAGAGAACCGATTTTGCAAAGAAGTGCGTTGTAAAGAACGGTCTTCTTTGGCCGTCGTGATTCTTCTCTCGCCGTATCATGGTCGTCGTTTGTGAGATTTAGTCTCTACGAATCGTTGATATGTTTTTTGGACCATACAAAGACTGACAGCTGTCTGGCCAATTCTCTTTGCCGCATTCCATTATCAATCAAAGTAACAATTTGAATAGATCTAGCAATTCTATGTCATAGTTTTAAATTTAAAAATTGCACAAGTTCACCCTTTGAACAACTGTACAATAACGAAAGATTTTTGGAAAACGGAACAGCTATATCCCATGAAAAACAACGTACAAACAACACGTGCATTCTAGGAAGTCGTAAAACTGATATCAATTCTGGACATTGAATCTGCAATACGCAATTTAAGATTAATTAAAAAAATGTTTAAAATTGAAAACATGTGGACGCCTACAAGTCCAGACATTTACTGAACGATAATGTACATATGTACAAATTATTATACTATGCACAATATCATACTAAGTTGAGAGCTTAGTACAGTCATCACATGAAATTTGTGCATTTATACCGAAGTAGTACAGCGAAAATATCCTAACTGGCAGTTGTCTTGTTTTGGTAGAACTAGAATATTTAAATATTATTTCATTTTCATACAACTGCAGCTGTTTTTGGCTGAATAAAAGTGTCATTATTGCATTTAGTTTTTTTCAATTCCTTCTCTTTCCCACATTTAAAATCTCTTTTGGAATTATCTGGTTTTGTCAGTACATTATTTGATTATTTTTAAGTCAAATGCGTACTTAACTTAAAATCGAGAAAATAGGTAGAGTTGTCAGGTTTTGGCAGTAAACTGACGATATAATATATAAATGGTAAGTTAAATCTTTCTTAGACTTATCGTCATACAACCAGACGCAAATTAAATAAGACAGTATTCATCATTATAATTTACCTAAATGCCCTATCAAAATAAAAGATTACATCCATGTTAGGAGAACAGGGACACTCTTCTCGCCTAGGGAGCTATCCAGGTATTGATTT